GGAAATAAAGTCTTTGTAAATAGGGAAGGTTGGAGGGTGTGAAGGGAGGGCTAGGAATGGGGAAAAAATAAGAACCAAGATGCATTATATACAGGAACAATTCCCAATGAGAAATGTAATTGTGTTGTATACCTACAATGTACCAATAAAAGAATTTAATACAAAAACAAATTATGTACTGGTCCTGTTTTAGTAATTTCTAATTATATGATTTTAATAAGCAAGTACTTTGTAGTCAGGTATGGGTTTGGGTCCTGGAACTTCTACTTGCTCCTTGAATTATGTTTGACGAATTACTTAACTGTATTGCTTCTCAGTTTCTTTACCTAGAAGCCATTTTCAGAATGGCTAAACTTCAAAAATTAAGAGTATCCAATGCTGACAAGGGCTTATCATAATTGGAACTATAACACTTTGCCAAAAGAGTGCTTAGTGGAATGGCCATATTAGAAAGTAGGACTTTTTTCTAAGTTAAACATACACTTATAAAACCCAGAAGATCCCACCCTAGGTATTTTCCCAAAAGAAAAAAATAGGCTTACAGAAATATTTACATGTGAGTATTTATAATACTTTTATTCACAGTCATTTCAACCTGGAGACAATTGAAATGTGCATTAGCTAATGCACAGATAAAATGTGGTATATATCTCCATACAGTACCAAGGACTGAATTACTGATCCATACAGCTAAATGCTTGTATATTATAATATTATGCTAAGCAAAAGAGGCTTGACACAGAAAAGCTTCATACTCTACAATTCTATTTTCAGTGGCACTCTGGAAAAAATAGAACTATAGGGACATCAGTCAGATAAATAGTGATCATGGGATTGAGAGTAGAGAAAGGGAATTGACTGCCTAGGGGAGCTGGAGGATGTTTTGTAGTGATGGAAGTATTCTATACCTTGTTTATGTGAGTCGTTACATAATTATATTTTGTCAAAATGATGAATTGCACTCTATGTAGATCATACCTCAGTAAAAAGGAAGGAAAAAAAAGTGTGTGTTTCAGGGATGGTATGGAAATTATAAAAGATCATTCTCCCTTATGTTTTCTTCTTTTGGCTATTTATTATTTTCTGCTTATATCTCTCATAAATTTAAGGTCCATGATGAATTTCAGGGATGAGATACTATAGAAAACATTATGTGTTTATCTGTGTTCATCTGCAATCCTTGAGTCAGATTTGAAATCGAGTCTTCAAGTATATTCTTATGGTTCTAGGTATCCCAATTAGTACTGAATAACTTAGAGCTGGAATTTACATACATTGTAAAATGTACCAAGTTTTTATCTGCTTCAACTGGATTCCTATCCCTTTCTCCTGGTAGTGAGAATGCATAGTATGGTTTTGAGGGTATAAGAAGTGTTCTCCAGGTATGGCTCTGAGTCCTGCCCAAGAAAAGTTTCCTCTATTACTCTGGAAACCTTTGTCCTATTCCACAATAGTTCTGAAATATGAGTAAGCATTAGAATCACTAGCAAGAATAGTTAAAATAACAACTTGCTCCTTTCCTCCCCCAGGTACTCATTCCACAATAGCTCTAGGGTAGGAGCCAAGAATTTGCATTTCTAACATCCCCAAATAGTGTTGATGTTGCTGGTTGGGGTGTATACTTTAAGAAACTAATTTATACTTCTGGTGTTACAGTGTCAAAAATCCTGCCCATGTATAGGAACCAGAATTTGCTTTTAAAATTCTTCATCATTTCATGAGCACTTTAGTATTTGTGTGTGAGGAGGATGGGGGGGGGAGGATATGAATCAATAAACAGTAAGTACTAGGTTAGAGACCATACAGTGTTTGATGCCTGAAAGACAGAGAAATGGTACTGATGATACTGGTAAGAGAAAAAGGAAAAAGTGGAATCTAGCTACATAGCCTTTTCTTTTAACCTTCTGAGTGTAATCATGCTACATCATACTTATCTCCTTAGCAACAACTTTGAGTTCCTGTTCTATTTTTTTTTTTTTTTTTTTGGTACTGGGGATCGAACTTGGGTCCTTGCGCTTGCTCAGCAGGTGGCAAAACCACTGAGCTAAATCCCCAGCCCCCTATTCTATTTTTAAAAGTCTGAAAACTTTTACTAGGCCTCTTCTGACTAGTGGCCTAAAATATTCTCAGTTGAAACTTTTCACTGCCTTGTTTATAATAAATAGGCCCCTTCTCCTCACACCTAAGTTTCATAATTCTATCCTTTTTTTTCCCCTAAGAATGATAGTAATTTTCACTGAATGAAAACAAAGTTCTACGAACTGCATAACTTGAAACAGTTTGGGCTGTGTGGGTGACTGAGTTCAAGTGAACAAGTATAAATCATGCTCTAATATCAAATATATCTCTAAACCCAAAAAGAAATAATCCTAATAGTTTTAATAGCAGTAGATATAAAGAAATATAAGTAAAATTCAGAATTTAAAAAGTTTGTTTTAAAGAAATCACAGGTGTATTTTTTCTTCCCAAATGCCAAAGCAGATATTGAGGGCTGAATACATAAATTTGTTCAGAATTCCTACTATGTTAAGGTTACTGTAAAATATATTGTGCTGTAATCATATCTATTGAATTTTCTCTGTGATAGATTAAATACAGTATATTATACTTAGAGTTGATGTCCCTCTATTCCTCTACCACCACCCACCACACTGATTATCAAGACTCTTTAGAGAAAATAGCTTATTGCACTATATGATTACATGCCTCAATTGAGTAGTAGCCCAGTGCCAATTATCATTACAATGCCATATTGATTTTTTCTCATTTCCATTATGGAAATTAGAATGTGTTTAAAAGGAGCTTCGATATATATTGTAGATGTGACTGTTTCTTAATATGAGTTATATTTTTAAGATATTTTCTTAAGTGATCTAATGACTCTTACTGATATTCTCTTAAAAATGTAGTCTTGTGCTACAGTGATAAGCTTTACATTAGGTACATATGAAATGAAGAGTTTAAAGAATGTGGAATAGAAACTGTCTTTAATTACTATGTTTAAATAGGTTTAAATATGTTGAGTACAATGGCTAGGAATGTATCTCCATGGTATAACACTTGCCTAGCATGCATGAGGCCTTGAGTTCAACTCCAAGTACCACGCACACACACACAAACAGTATAGATTTTAGTCGTTGCTTCATGGAAGTCTGCTACATATTTATGTATGAAGTTCTCAGGCATTGTGAGACTGCTTATGCTGTTAGCCACCCTCACTAGTACAGTTAATTTAAATCAGCAAATATTTATTTAGTGTTGACTGTATATACATATTTATTTAGTGATTATAAGCCACTGTGCTAAGTGCTCTGGGAGAAAGAAAGATAAATGAGATAATATACTATCTTTAGAGAATTTACAATCCAGGCTTGTGTATAAGACATGTGTGGCATGAATCAGAATGTCAGCAGTGGAAGATAAAGATCACATGGGAATTCAAAGAGACAGAACTAACATTTGGTGGGAGGACTTGCAGGGGAAAAATATTAATGGCTCAAAATTACCAAGTTGAGCCTTGAAGCCTTGGAGAAATGGTGTTGGGGTTTTCTTCTTGGAAGAAAGAATAAATGACATACACAGGGAAATTCTGGGAAGGTGCCAGGAATTATCATCCTTCTGATTTTATTGGCACATGTGGTATAAGGCCTGGAAGCTGGAAAGGTAGAATAAGGCTACATCAGGCTACATACGTTAGGTAGTCCAAGGGAAATTTTTATAGAGAAGTGTATTGTTTAGTGCAACTTAATCTGGCATTTTAGAAAATGCACAAGAGAAAAGAATGAGTCTCAGGAGACCCCATTTGGGAGTTTCCAGGCATATTAAAGAAAAGATAATTAGGGCTAGATTGTTAGCATAGAGAGTGAAAAAGAGGGAGGAGTCATTGGGAGAAGTCATTTTAGAAGTAGAACATTCATGACCAGATGCCACAAAGTCAGATCAAGTGCTTTGTGTTCTATCTTTCAAGCTTCTCCCATACATAGGATTTAGTCTCCTGACGTTCTCCCAAGCTTGCTTACTCAGCTTCCACACACTGGTCTCCTGATAGTTCCTGCAGTATTTCAAACTAGTAGCTAATGGTTTGGACTGCAGGACTCAGTCTACCCTTAGTTCTTCTACTAGAAAAGTCCTAACTTCCTATAAGGCTCTGCTCAAGTGCTAAGTTTTTACAAAAGGTCTTTCACTCACCAAACATTGAAAAATAGCATCCCAGCACCCCTTTTATTCCATTTATCAAGTGTTATTTTTCTTTACTGCATCAAAACAATGTCATTTTTTTATATTGTGTTTATCATTTGTCTTCCTCTCTTTAGATGTTAAGCTCCATGAGGGTAGGGGTTTAGTTTTGTTGCCTGTTATAATTCTGCCACCTGCAACATGCTTGGAGATATATATATATATGTATATATATATATGTACATATATATATTCCAAAAATATTTGTTGAATGAATGAACAGAATAAATGGAAAGGTTAAGAGAATGAGAGATCAAATATTTATGCTACTATTAGAAATGTGAAGAACTCAAAGGGTAATAATGTTACTAACAATATCGGTAAGAATGGAGGAGGAATTGCTTCAGGGAAGTGAAAACAAGGGAAGATAAATTCAGCTTCTAAATTCAAGCCTAAGCATAGGATGTGGGTGAAACAACCAAGGAAGTGCTGTATAATGAGTGATCAAAAATATGAAGAGAGAGCCAGGGATTTAGCTCAGTAGTTCCACCGCCTGCCTCACAAGTGCAAGGTCCTGAATTCGATCCCTGGTACCAAAAAACCCCCCAAAAAACAAAAATGAACAAAAAAAATATGAAGAGATTTCTGAGTTTTAGGTTAAGATTCCTGCATCAACCTCACAGTCACAACTTTAATCAGTGGTGATAGAATAAAAGAATGACAAGCAATATTAAAATAAGATTTTCAGATTTGGAAACCGAAATTTCATTTTGAATAATATTTTAAATATATGAACTTATTTACACATTCTTTTTATCTCTTAGCTGGGTTAACAACTTTGGCCATGAAGGTCTTGGACTTTTACTGGATGTGTTGGAAAAGCTTCTGGACAAAAAACAGTAAGAATAAACATTTAGAAAAATTTTCCAAAGGAGAAAATTTTTAAGCATGACATGTTATGATTTTTTTTCATACTTAGGCAAGAAAATATTGACAAGAAGAATCAATATAAACTAATTCAGTGCCTCAAAGCATTTATGAATAATAAGGTAAGTAATAATTATTTATGCCTCTGTTCCTAAAGGGGAGAACTTGCCTGACAGTATAAAAGTATGAAACAGACAAAATACTGGATGTGTGCTCTGTTTACAAAGGGGCCTTTATGATGCAAATTGTCATATATTCCATTTAAATATTTAAAATATACTTTGCTTCACATAATATTTACTGGTAGGCTGCGCATATATATCTTGTTACCAAATGAGGTAATACTTATTTTTCTTTTATACTAGTAGGAAAACTTAAATGTCATAAATTGAATACCGTTTCCATACTTTTTATTCCATTGAAAAGAAAAAGGGTAAGGTTTGACATTTTTGCTAAGAATATTGTAAGATTAAAATTTCTCTTTTATGTTCAATAAATGTTGGTGAGTTAACATACATGAACAATATCTCTGGAAGATAGTGGGGATTTTAGTTTTGGTATATGTATAACACTAGGAAGAACTATATGAATTTTAGAATATTTTTTGTTATTGTTTTAGAAATTACCTGCTCTATATAACTATAATTCACCTAATTACATAATTACTTAGATGCTGTTTTACCAATCTTAAAATACTTAATAGAAACAAATAATTATAACAATAACAAGAAACTGGCCACATGTGAAATTTATAGCTGTTGTGGTAACATAGCTAATGCAAAAAGATTACATATTTAAGTTATGCGCAGTCTTTCTTATGCATATGGAATTATGCATCACTATTTTTATAACATACACATGTTTATCAGCAAAGAATACTGACACATGCCATGGATGCTTGCTAGTAGACTCCTGCATAAAATATAGTCATAGTGCTATTTCTGAATCTTGCTTACAAAAACACTGGTACTAGTACAGAATTTCTCAACTTATGTGCCCAAATTATACAGAATCTTATGCCTACCAAGAAATCATTTATTTTACATTGCTTCTCAACAACTCAGGATAGATCTCTTTCTTAAATTGAGGGAAAGAATAACGTAATAGAAAGAGAACATAATAAGAGAAATCAAGAGATTATAGTTCAAACTTTACCACTAATAAGATGCCTTTGGAAAATAACTTGACCTCTCTGGTCAATCAGTTCCATTATTTGTCAACTGAACTTTAAGACTGTTTGTTTTACATTCTTATTGACTTGTGTTGTTAACTTCCGCGTCTTTCCAGTACATCAAATAATTAAAATCAGAATAGTCACTAGAGAAGTTTGTATTAGTAAGATTTCCTATAGAACCTTTTCCTACAGGATATACTTTGATGTATCAACATATTGTTTTTATTTCTTAAGACTTTGTCAGTTTTGAAGAACGGATGATTTTTCGTGGATTATCCTAAACTAAGTTTAAGTTAGGTCATGTTTATGTCTTACATATAGGTCCTCAGAACATGAATAAATTGGTCTTTAAAGTTATAGGCATTTGAAACAATAGGCATAAATATGTATTGAGGATAGAAAATATGCAGTGTTATATTCATTTCATGTTAGAATAAATTGTCCAAATGTAGAAAGGAAACTTTCATCTGGAATGACTTAAAGAGCAATTATGTTTTGTGGCCCCAAAGAGTTTAGATTACTTACTTCAGAAACTCCCTCTGTGCAATATATGGAACAATAAAACCATAAAAAGCAAGTCATTGTTCCTTAACTTCCATTACCATAATATTGCTTGGATGTTTGGATTGAGTGGTTTTTCTGGTATATTTCTCATGTCTTTATTTTTATATTTGGTATATTCCTACATATTAGAAATTATTATTAATAAATAAAATCTTGAAATTTTAAAATATTTCATTGTCATTCTAATTGACTTCTAAAGCTGTTAAGTTTTGTAACTGTGGTAGTTATTCAGCTCTCAGATTTACACATGTGCTTTTTTAAAAAAAATACATGTGCTTTTTACTTATATTTCTTAGTTTTTATTATGTACTGGCCACCTTTATATATACACATCCTATCCCTTTTTTTTTCTTTTCTCTTCCCAGTATTTTTCATCTTTTCTTGTTTCCACATGTTTCCTTATTTATTAGGATCCATGCTAAAGTCACGTTTTGGGAAAAGACACTAGAAGAGTTTGACAGGAAAGTACAGCAACAGGAGGTGTTCTTTAAAGTGACTGACAAGTCTGAATGCCTTACTCCATCAACACAGAGCTGGATTTCCAAATTCTGTCCTATTCCTAGCTTGCATTCCACTGGATCATAACAGTGACTCACCTTCTGGGTGATTTTTTGTTTTTTTTTAAGCAAAGATGAAGGGAAAATGAACTAAGATGCTAGGCCATGTTGGCATCTTGCAGTAATTCCCTAAGGTCATTTGATATATTAACCTTAAATATTGTATTCTTTAGACACTGTTACTGAAAAACTGTTAAAGAAATAATGTTCAAAATTATTAAAAACTGTTACATCTCTAAATATTAATAAATATCTTTTTACCTGAAAAAAGTCACATTTAGGAGCTTTAGCAATGATTCCTTCCTCTAAGTTCTTTTAGAAGTTAAATTAAAAACCATGCTATTGTTCATATATTTGATACTTAACTACAGGTTAGCTTGAAGTGATAATTTTGCTCTCATGAAACATTGTCAGACTTCACCAAGACACTGTAAAATGAAACAACTGTATTTCATGAGAAATATAAGAAATAGCTTGTGGAACATAGATGAAAGAAAACATTACCTTCTTCAGTATAAGAAAAACCCAAGTTTTAAGCTCTCTGTAGCATTTTATCTATTTGTTTGTGTGTGTGTATGTGTGTGTGTGTGTGTACACATACATATATGGGTTCATGCCTAGAAAATAAATGAAAATGATGCCTTCTCTGCCTACTGACTGTGACACTTAATAAAACCCAGCTGCCATATCTTTGGGTTCATAGCCTTTGTAGAAAGGAGGAGGGTAAGAACAAGAAGGGGTGAAAAATCCATGTCAAGGTTTATCACTTCTTTAACTCGCATATAGTACATAATTGGGCTTTTTTTTTTTTTTTTTTTTTTGGTAACGGGGATCGAACTCGGGTCTTGTGCTTGCATAGCAGGCATCGAAACCACTGAGCTAAATCCCCGGCCCCATAATTGGGCTTTTAAATTCACTTAATTTCCCATGCAAACATACTGAATAATTTAACTATAAATTCCAGACTTCCTCAGGGATACCCAGTGGGACAGAATTGTATTAGCAAATCATATTAGTATATGTTTCACATGTTCTTCTTTGTTGAAGAAATACTAATTGTTCCCATATTTCTCTCAAATTTTTGTGGAAATTGTACAGTAGACTAATGGAGCTCATATCTGACCAAGGGACAAAAACTCTAAGATATAGTCAGTTTAAATAAAAAACAATAGGTAACTAATTGAATTTGAAAACCATTTATATATTTTAGCACCTCAGTGTGGAAGTGTGGGTGTTTTTGAAAATCATTTTAGGTTGCTTTTCTTTAAAATTAAAGGTATGTTCCATAGACATTTTAATTTTGACTAATGATTTTTTTCTTTTAGTTTGGATTGCAAAGGATTTTAGGAGATGAAAGAAGTCTTTTACTATTGGCAAGAGCAATTGATCCCAAACAACCCAACATGATGACTGAAATAGTAAAAATACTTTCTGCTATTTGTATTGTTGGAGAAGAGAACATGTAAGTATTTCTATATTATATTAATTGCATAGAAAATGACACTTGAAATTGATGAGTTTTACTTATGTTCTGTTTCTTTAGATAAATTGCATGAAAACAATAATAGAGTTTAGAAAATTATTGACTGACATTTTTATCTTGTCTGTTTATATTTTAGCTTTTTTTGTTGATATTATGAAAACTAGGTTTAAACTAATAGACTTCTAATGGGAAATTCTTCAAAGATGAGTTCAAAATAAATAATTTTATGCTACTGAAGGTAAAGCAATCATTAGAAAAATGGGCAAAAATCAGTTATTTTCACAAATACATACATGCATATTTTATGTTGTACACCCGGAAATCTTTACTTCTTTAATTGAATTAACTAGATGCCTTTATTTTGTGCTATTGCTTTGTAACAGAATGTACTTTGCTTGCCTACAAAAACTGAAGTGAGGAATTATTTATGGAGTGCAATAAACTAATCTCTTAGAAAAAGAATAGGCTGTTGATATTTATTGTGTATGTATATTCCAAAGTTAGCAAGTGTGGTCAAACATGCTTTGGATCATATCTTATGGAAATAATAATGAATCAAAACCAGAATTTGAGTTCATTAATAAGTCTAGTTTAAGAGAAATCACTATAATAAAAACGAAGTGTACTTAGGACACTTTTGAACATTTTATGTGACAGTAATACTTTCAATTTGAACCAGAACAGGCCATGCAAAGATTTAGGGATGTTTCAAGATATTGATTTTCTCATAACTGTTAGAATAAAATGAGATACTGCTTAGTCCTACCTACTGCACTTAAAGGTCAAAAGACAAACATTACACAAAAATATCTACAACTTTAAGTCTTTTCTTAATGAGAACAAAGGAAGTAACATGCAAAAGTAAAATTTTCATACACATCTTAGAAAAATCTGTTTATTTATATGGGCCGGGGATTTAGCTCAGTGATGTTGCCACCTGCCTTGCAAGCACAAGGTCCCAAGTTCGATCCCTGGAACCCCCCCAAAAAACACAAGACATATTTTGCTTGTCAATTAGCATTTCAATATTTAATTCATAAAATACAACCTAGCCTGGTATACTTATTATAATTCAATTATCATTCCAGGTGTCATTTGATAAAAGTAAGAGGCTACAAAAAAAATTAAAAACCTGAGGGTAGAGAGGAAGAGGAAAAAAATTGAGATGCATTATGTACATGTACCAATTTCCCATAACAAATGTAATCATTATATACTGCAAACATATACTAATAAAAATTTTTTACAAGTAGCAAACTATATAAATGGAGGTTAGTTTGATATCAACATTGTGTAGAGATATCACCAATATTTTTATTCAGATAAATAAATTTCTTGTGCCATATAGAGATGTCTTTAATTAGTTGAAATTTCTCTTTTAGAAAATTCTTTTTTATTCCATAATTCATTCTTTCTAGCACTTTATGTTTACATTATATTAATATCTATATTAACATATAAACTTCAAAACCATAAAATTTTAATTTAACATTATCTAATCAAGTGTGCTTCTCAGGGTGTCTGCTAGAAAAATTAGTTTCCTGAAGACTATTCGAATTTTCATTTTGGTGCCCTAAATTATTTAAAGTTGTTAATATTTATCTTTAGAAATATATTTACAGGAACACAACTGTAATAATTGTAATGGTCTTTCAGTTAGAAGGAAGTTTTTCAAGAGACCTATTATTATTATTTTTTGGTACTGGGGATCGAACTCGGGTCCTTGGGCTTGTGCAGCAGGCAGCGAAACCACTGAGGTAAATCCTCGGCCCAAGAGACCTGTTTTATATTATGGTGCTCATAGTTAATAACAATATAATGTGTACTTGACATTAGCTTAGAGTAGATTTTTATGTACATATACACAAAAATAAGTATGTGATGTATTACATATGTCATTTAGTTTGATATCACCATTTCACAGTAAATGCGCATTTCAAAACTTTGCATTGTTCTTCATATACCTGTATACAGTTTTTGTCAATTAAAACTATTGAATAATAAGTTTTAAAATTGTAGTGATCTATTTAAGCATTTACACCAGAAAACAAACAGGTAAGACTGAAAGGAATAACCCATGCTAGTGTGTGTGGGTGTGTGTGTGGGTGTGGGTGTGTGTGTGAAGTAATTCTCATTCTGTTTCTTCTTTTTTATCCCTTGTTTTTTTCTACAGTCTGGATAAACTTTTAGGGGCAATAACTACTGCAGCAGAAAGAAATAACAGGGAACGATTTTCACCAGTTGTGGAAGGATTAGAAAATCACGAAGCTTTGCAATTACAGGTCAGTTAATTTTGTCTTAAATTGCATCTAGAATTACATTTAGAGTACTCATTTTTTGTGACATCCTACTCCATTTTACCTTGCATTTAAATACTAAGGAATGTAAAAATAAAATTCCTCCTATTGTTGGAAGTTTGGTTTGTGAGAATAACAATTTGTTTAAACTCAGGAAAATATTACTAAATTACTATGAATATGGCCCCTATGATTATCATTGATATCATAATTTACTAATTAGTGTAATAATCCCAGGAAGTTGAAGACTTAGTAATAAACAGGGCCAAAGGATAAGCAATTCAGTGAGTGCTATTATCCTAAGAGATGTTAGTGAAGTCTGTGGGATTTTTGTAGAAATTTAAGAAAATGATATTTGTCTCTCTTTGTGACATTCAAGCAACATTCATAGGTCTGACTCACCAAAATAGAGGTGACTGAATTGTTACTGTGTGTCGGGTTTCATCTGATAGCCTTGTGTAGACCCAGCCTAAATATTTCCTTCAGAAAATAACAAATTTATAAATTGTGTGGTATGCAGAATTTTGGTTTAATAAAGTTGTTTTATTAAGATAAAGAAAATAACAGGGCCGGGGATTTTAGCTCAGTAGTTTCATTGCCTGCTTGTGCACGAGCACAAGGACCTGAGTTCGATCCTCGGTACCAAAAAAAAAAAAAAGATAAAGAAAATAACAAACCTGCTGTCTTTTCTTCAGGTGATTACAGGAAATGATCCATTTTATGAAAAATAACTTTGTTCTTGAGGGATGAGAATTCCTGTTTATTACTTGTATTTATAATATTTGGTCCTAGATTAAACATTTTAATTTGAATATGTCATTTGATTTAATTATCCAACACAGCTTTACAGGCGTATTTTGCTTATGAGATATGTAGGGTGAATGAGTTAAGTTAACTTGTATAAAGTGACTCAGTGTATAAGTCAGAATTTGATACCTGGTATGTCTAGTCTCTGATCGTAATCTCTTTCTTATAGATAGTATATGCATCTTAATGCACCATGGAAAACAGTCTTTGAAAGATATTTTAAATTCTTTGTATGGTCATTCAACAGAGAACATGGTTCCACATTTAATTTTATTAAATCGTTCAGTATTGAGTGTTGAAATATTAAAATTTCTTACCTGATAAAAAACTAACAAAATTTTGTACTTGTTTATTATGAGATATTGGTATTGTTTTCCACCAGAGTTTGAGACTATCAGATAGATGAACTGTCTGGTGTAAAGAGCATCTATAGTGTGACATAGTTGTAGTAAGTTAAACTTGTATGATGTGGTTTTAAGTCATATATACTTTTTAAAAACTAGGATTTTTATGGACTGGGGATTTAGCTCAGTGGTTCTGCTGCCTGGCTGGCAAGTGCAAGGTCCCGAGTTCGATTTCCAGTACCACAAAACAAACTAAAAAATAAAAACTAGGATTTTTCCACTTTTTTCTTTTTATAATACATTTCTCTATCATGAAATTTAATCTCAATGAAATTTCATACCTGTACCAAAAAATTAAAAACGTTTTTAGTTCACTTTTTGAAAGTTTTGTCTTTGTTCCTAGGATTTGGGCTACAACTAAATTTCATTGACATTCAGACATATGTCTAAATTTGTGCATCTCTTGGAAAGTTTATACAGGAAAAATGAAATATTTTTATTATATTTATACTCAGTTTGCCAAGCTTGGGCCAAATATATTTACATATTTGAAGAATTTTTTAAATGAATTTTTAACTACAATTCTGTGAATTATGCATTATTATCTCCAGTTTGCTAATCAAGGAAATGAGTTTCCAGGAGGCTAAGTAACCCACTCAAAATCACATAACAGTTAAGGGACGAAGTGTGTTTTAAATTTGGATTTTTATGATGACAATATGTGTATACTGCTTTACCTATACTTTAAAGTGATGCTTCTATCATAGTGTAGTTTACTCCAAACAGTGAGATGGTATTGACATTTCCTATCTTGCAGCAAGTTGGGCAGAATAGAATTTTTAAAGTGGCATGTTTTTAACATGAAACATGGAAAAATTAGAGACATCTTGATAACTACTCAAGAGATTGTTGAATCCTGCTTATAGATGTAAAACATGCAAACACTATTTGAAATTTCCTACCTTAATGAGCTACAAAAATTAGTAATTTGTTATATACAGAGCCTAGTACTCTCACAAGAATTGTGAAGTGGGTTTATTTGGAGTATTTAGTGTAAAAGAAAACATATCCTCTAAAAGTTCAAAAATATATTCAGGATACGGAAATGAAAAACAAAAGTTTAAATCTGTTGTTTAAAAAATACAATTATGATTGTATTTTAACAAAATGGCTTTTCTATTTTGGTAGTATCCTGAGACTTCTCAAAATGTTTTCATAGTCGCAGGAATTAATTCTTTCAAATACAGGATTAATAATATTTTAAAATAACAATTATATAACTTCTCTCCCTTCTTATTTTAAGACAGGTTATTAACTTACAGATTTTTTCCAGTTCACTTTTAAAGTAAAATTTTACCTGTGATAAAATTTTCATTATTTTTAGCAGTTCGTGAAATAGGTAGAAGATAAACCGTATATCTTGATACGCTGTCTCTTCATTGACTTCTCTTTACCTTAGGTGTATTCTCCATTCTCACATATTGCAACATCTTTTCATCTGACTTAATGCTTCTAACTAGCCCCTTATCTCCCTTTTTCATTTTGAAGTTCATGTCTCTAAAAGAATAATCTTTACTAGTTTTCTAATGTACTTTTCACTACCCAGCTTTCTCACAGCTCTCAATAAGGTCTACAATGATCTTCTAATTTCAAAATCCAGTGACTTCTTTCCAATCCTGATCACTTGGCACTATTGATCATTCCATTTTTTAAATTGTTAACTACCCTTGCCTTTCCTGGCACTGTTCTCTTCCTGCTCTCTGACTACCTGTAATTGTCCTTTCACTATCATTTTAATATGTTTCTTGTCTTCTGACTTCTCAGGTATTATGTTCTCCATTTTCTATCGGTGGTCACCTTCTATTATCATTTTACGTTATTCTATCCATACATGCCTATACATATATACACATACATGTAATTATGATCATTGGCATGTACGTATTTTATTTTCTCCATGAACAATCTCAATTACTTCCCTGCTTTTTATATCCAACTATGTCACAGTAAATCTCCAGATATATAAGTCCAGTTCATGCCACTTTCCATTTTCAAATCTACTTATCCAAATGCATAACTAGGTATCTTATATGCTTCACAAAAATAAAAATAGAAAAATAGCATTTATAATCCAAACTGTATTCTAAATGTTTCACCTATGCTATCTCATTTAAATGTCACATCAATTTTATGAGAGATAATAATAATATTTCCATTTTATTGTATGGATAGTTAGGCAAAGCCCAGATTAGACACCAGGGAGTCTGACTCTAAAACACATGCTGTAACTACTATGATGAATATTTTCTTATATTAAAACCAAACTCATTATCTCTTGTAATATAAAAGGCAATGGCAAATTTTAAACTCAACACATTGACTTTTTCAGCACTATTTGGCACTATTGGTCACTTCTTCAGTAGTGCTCTCTTCTCTATTTCTATGATACTAAGCTCTTCTTGTTTCTCATTTACCTCTGTGTTTCATTTAAAATTTCCTATTTCTATGTTTGTCCTTAAATTATCTGAGTGAGAGAGCTTGATCCTTAGTCCTTCCTTTCTTCATTTTAATGATCCAAGTGGAGTCTTATCCATTGTCCTCATTTCAGCTGTCATATGGAGTGTCTTCCCCTGAGCTTTTCTCTTTCAGTTTCCTCCTGACTCACATAACCCATATGTTCAGCTGTCCCCAATTCAAGTTCTGCATTGTTTAACTATATTTATCTTTTCACTTATCTGTCTCTTTCCTACTCTAATCTTAACCCTAGTTAACCTTAGAATTATCTACCAATTAGCATATATCATAAATATAATAGTCATCTTTGAATCTACCCTAAAACCATTGGCATCCTTCCTTCCATCAGGAACCAGATCCTACCAATTCCACTTTCAACCTTGCCGTAATGTCCACCCCCCGACCCGACATTTTAAAATTTCAGCCCATTGTCATGTCTCACTATTTTATAATTTCCCCAGACTTTTTAACATTTGTCATTTTAACCCCCTTTATATCATAATGCACAAAGTTATTTTTCTGAAATTCAGTTCTATCAGATCACTGCTAAACACCTATAAGGGCTTTTACATATTTTATTAGGATTAAAGTCTAGTCCTAGCCCCCCCCAAAACACTTCATGTTTTGGTCGTTGTATTCTTTCTAAACTTGTATTTCACTACTCTTCTTTATATACTTATTGATTCAAACATACTGTGCTTTGTTTCCTAAACTCTTTATACTGTTAATACAATTTGTATTCAGCAAAGCTGAATCTAAGAGGTAGAGGGAATCCAAGGCTAAAGGTCATGAGTTCTAGTCTTATCATTGGGGTTGATTAGCTATGTGACCTTAGGCAAATTACCTAATCTCACTAGGATTTTTTATTTATTTGTGAAAAACTTACTGGACCAGAGTATTTTATGTTCTCTGGAGTTTTAAAATCCCATGATTTTTTACTTTATATCTCTGTAGTTGGATTATTTTTTCTTTTGGGGGGGCAAAAGGTGGGGTGATTTTGCACTATAAGAGGAAAACAGTTCACTCACGCTCTTAAAGATTTATATACTTAGAAAATTGTTTTGCTTTTAACATGTCTATTACAACAGATGCAATTCACATCTGACTAGGTTTTGTTTTCTCTTTCCCCTCCCACAACCATGTTCCTCAGGCCATTTCCTTGTAATTGAGCAATCAATGAATGTACTTTCAGCACACAGGCCCACCAGTACTTTTAAAGTCTATTCTTACAGGGTGCAAATGGATTTCAGTAATTTATACAAACAAGTGAGTTATGCTCAGTCACTGCAATTTTAAGCTACTATACCCAGGAAGTATTCA